TGTTCTGGTGTGGTCTAATAATGATACTAATAACCTAATAAACTTACATCTCCTTTGCGCACGTAATCTGGGTCCTTGTAGACATCCCTTGCGAGTCCAAAATCACAGATCTTCACAACATTATTCTCAGAAAGCAGGATATTACGTGCAGCCAGATCACGATGAATGCACTATTAAGAAAAACGGCAAAAAACAAAGTGAGATTTTTATTGCAAAACCGTGTTTTCTGCACACTGCAAGTTTGAATTCACCGCTATGCTGCATTTGGGAAAACATATGGTCAAGCCATCAGTGATATTACAATAGGAAATTCTTTTTTTTCTATATGCAGACTCCTATCACCAACCATTCCCATGTTATTACGGTGTATCCATATAAATGGCCCACCCTGTAGTATGAGAGACCTAGTACATTGTTTGGCATCAATACTGTACTAACAATCTGGATACATGAACTCAGAAAACTGAACTGGCAAACTTTTGGTTCATAAAATACCCAGAGAGTATACCGTGGAGCTCCAATATGTCAAATTTAACCCCCAGACATCAACTTGCACTATTGCAAAGATCTACTTCTCTGACTTTCTTTTGTTGTTGCTCATTTTGTGTCCCTGTTTCTTGATTTATTTTTGTAAGGCTCAGCTAACACTACCCAGATGTGCGAGTGTTTCTTTAATGGAAAGTGTGGCGATAAGGTGGTGAGAGAGGAAGAGTAAGAAAGACAAAAATAAATAAAGGGAAGAAAACTGTGTCATTGTGACATCGGCATGCTTTCCACTGAAAAGATAAAAATATACGATTTCACACACTTTTCTTTCAGTGGAAGTGGCTGATGACACCAAATGATAATTCATGAACAGCAAATTTGAAAAAACTTTCCCTGTATCTGTGGTGACTGTTGGACATATATGTAACATGCAAATAATATCTCATGTTGTCTTGGCATCAAAATGTGTTCTTAGTTCTGCGCTAGGTTCCTCATGCAATCACGGACCAACGCACAACGCTGCCTTAAAGGCTGGAGTGGTCTCACAGCAGGGGCACACTTTCACACTGATCTG